CTGACTTACACTAGTACTACACCAGTGTACTAGAGTGACTTCAATGGGCTTACCCTGATTTATACCAGTATAGTGAGAGAGCCCAGATTCTCTACCTTGGTTTTGGCCCATTTGCATCATCTGAGCAGTGCAGATGTGCTGAAATCTGGCCACAACTGAGAATTCAATGGGGGAGGGAGGAAACCCTCCAATGGCACAAAGCCAGGAACCAACTCCTATGTGAACTGCCCATCCCTCCCTGGGGATGGAGGGAGCATGAGGAAGTGGGGTGGATCTCTTCTCTGCTCTCCCAATTCTCAATTGGGTATGATTCATTAGGGCCAGATTTTTAGAAGTATTTAGGTACCTAAAAATGCAGACAGGCACCCAGTAGGATTTTCAAAAGTGCCTAGGTGCCTAACTCCCATTGATTTCAAAGATGCAGATAGATGCTTTTCAAAATCCCAGTAGGCACCTAACTGTATCCTTACGTGCCAAAATACCTTTAAAAATCTCACCATTAAGATACTCTAACTTACACAAGGGTTAGGGAAGCTTGAGAATCAGGGTGTTGTAGCCAGCTCCTTGACACACCCACCTAACCAGTGGATCTCAAAAAACGGAAGTTAACATATCTAAATTTTTATAGATATTCACATTACAGGTCTGTCTCATCTTACGCGGGGGTTCCGTTCCGCGGTTAGTGCGTAAAGTGAAAACCGCGTATAGCCAAAATTCCATTGAGTTCAATGGCGGGCGAAATCACCTACACTACAGGTATAGTATTAAAATTGTTATTTTTCTCTTTTTTGTTTGTTTGTTTGTTTTGTTTTTGCCGACCGTGTAAAGTTGAAATCATGCATGTTAAATGCGCGTAAGATGAGACAGACCTGTAATAAGTTATAACAATTTTTATATAAAACTGCATTGACATAAGGCCATTATATGAAATGAACTCTGGTTGGAGTGGATACCATGTCCTTTGAAATAATTCAGTTTATATAAGATTTCCTACATTTAACTCTCCCTCATTATTACTTGTATTACAAGAAAACCATCAGGTGTCTTCACCATTATACTCCAGCTTTCAAACAATAAAGATTACTTTAAAGATACTACTTATAAGACACAATATGCAGGAATAGAACTATAACAAGAAATAAATGGCATCATCTAATTAGAAGGTCCAAAGGACATTACGCAAATAAAATGTTAATGTATATGTCACACAGACATTTTGGTAAAGTCTTGCTTCAAAACATACTGAGTCTTATCCGTCAAACAGCTAACATTAAAAAAAGACTATATTCTAATCTTCACTGGTATTATGGGGTTCTTATTTTCAAAAGTTTTCACAAGAGCTACCCTGCACAGTTTCCTGAACTGCATCTTTTAAGTGACTGTGGTATTCATGGCTTCATTTTAAAAGCTTACTGTAGACTAGGATTTGCAGAGATTTGTATTAAATAAGAGGAATACTTAATACTTAGCAGTCATAGTGAGCCAAAATAGCATGTGCTCTCTTCATTCGGATATTTTTAAACAATTTTTATCTTTACACTGTATTTAACATTATATCATTGCTATATAGTTACATTTTCCATGTATTTATTTTACCAGCAGACATTTTTTATCAATTTATGTAGCTCTTTCAGGAATGGAGCAAGAGTTTAAAGACACAGGGCCATATATTGTCCTTAGGCTGTAAGCAGAATTCCCATTGATGTCTATGGAAATTGTGCGACGAATTGAGGACAGTAGACAGCGCATCATGTTCTAACAGTTATACAATAAAGTGCAGATATTAAAAGGTGATATTAACAATGGAAAATTAACATCATAGCTTTTAATGTTTATACCTCAGGCCTTATAAAAAACAAGCATTACATAAGTAACTAGTTAGTAACTGATTTTACAGTATATGTAATGAAAAATATTTTCCACAAGCTAGGATCAATCTCTAAATTATTCTCCCTCATCTCTACCTCTCCATCATTTTATATATATAAAATAAACAAATTCCAACTATGGCATATCAGAACTAGGCGACCCACTACATGGGATTCAATTCTTAGAATTAAGAGTCCACTTTTATTATACGTATAGGACTCCTTCTCAAACTACCGGGGCTCTGTCATTTAATCTGACCTCCCATCAAGTGCCTTTTTTAGATATATCAGGGTATAGTAGTGGCAGAATGAGGTTATCCAGTAAGTGAGTTGCAGTAACCCTCCTAAGCCGCACATGCACACATTAAAGACCCAATCTTGACCTTCTGATACCCAGCAGTGCAGGGCACCTCAACATCTTACGGACATGTAGCCAGAGTCCACACCATGTTGGCCAGTCCCAAAAGGCAAAGGGATTGGGCCCACTGTGAAAGATGGGCAAAGCTCATTCTGCAGTTAGAACCCTAATAACTTTATAGAGGTGGGATAGTGGGAAGGGCTCATGCCAATGACCTACCAGCCCATTAGAAAACCCTCAGCCTGTACATAGGAGCCATTTACTCTAGACCTATGACTATAATAAACTCTGCAGAGCTCCTGGGGGTGGGCACAGAAAGGGAAGAAGAGGACTACCATCTAGTAAGTCACCCTAGATAAACAAGCAAACAATAAAAAATAATAAACAAACAGGTTGTTGGGTGTGGGATAGACTTTTAGCTTCCACACACACACAACAATTGCCTAGGGAGGAGGGAGCAACTTACTCCTGACGACAGCTGTTTCAGAAGTGTCAGCTGGGGAGGCTGTCTTTGCACCATGTATCCCATTCAGCTGTGAGTCAGCCAGGGAGGAATCTCCAACTTCTTCTTGGACAAAGAACATTGGGGAGGCACCACCTACCCTGGCATCCCTCCACAAGCTTCAATTACCACCTACAGTCAGCAGAGAGAGAAATTATGGACTTGGGTGGCTACAATTTAAAGGAGAGGATCCTCACAGTATTCCATTTTGCCTCACTGTCTGTAGAGCCCAGACAAAGCATGACAAATTTGAGGGCTTCATGTCACAAAGGTTCTGTGGATGTTCCTTGGGATAAGGTTGGCCCTTGTTGACTGCATCTTAGTCCTATGTTATTACTGTTCAGGGACATGTGGGTGTCTTTCATGTTGCTGCCGCTGCTGCTTTGGAGGCCCCTACAGGAAAGCTTGATAAACAAATTTGAGGTACCAGGGCAGGTGCCCCATATGGACTCTTCAAGGGGAATAAAGAAGTGCTGTGTCACTCAATACAGCTATCAGAATTAGAAATAAGGTACATTTCACTTTTAATTTTCTGAATGGGGCTGGGTGTTTTGATAATAGACCCACCTCTAGGATTTAACTACTAAAAGTTATGTCCCAGAACTTCATAATTTCATACACAATTTTGTGTGTGCTATTACAATAACAATTGTGCACACAAGTTTCATGTATGTACTTTTATACATGCAATTCTGGAAATCGAGGCCTAGGCCTGTATGTATGTATTGAGGAATGCAGATATCTATCTAAACAAAGCTGAAGCTAGCTGCACTCTCAGCTGCCAGCTGACTGAGGAGTTTTTAAACCACTGTTGCTTTTCTGACTCTCTTAGCTGTCCATGTGTCTTATGTTATTCAATTGATCTACAGTTGCGAGGATCTCCAGAGAGAGGGAGAATAATCACCCAAATTTATCAGTCATGTCAGATAAATGTCTACAACTCAGAGTGAACTCTTGTGAGTGGAGTTGAAGACAAAAGTAATCTGGAACTCCTTTGAGTGTCTCACTGATGTGAAAATACAGTGAAGGAGATCTAATCTGGTGGTCCAATTGTTCAATGAATGCACACTGTGCAAAATACTGATACTTTACCCATTAATCTACAGGAACATAGTGAATGGAGGGATAAGGAATGCTTGACTTAAACCACCAAATTACTTATTTTAGTTAATGCTTGTTTGCGAACCAGCAGTGGTATGTTAGAACATTTTTTGTGTCCATAAATTCCCCATCAAAACTTTTTTGTTGGTTTCTTTGCTATATCTATATTAGGCTACACTTTGAAAGTGAATTTCAAGTCCAAACCATACAGCTTCTAGTCTTACTTCTGGTTCCTTCAAACAAGCAAGTTCAAGCGAACCCATGCAATAACCTGAACTTTGATTATGGGTTTACTGTAGGATTTGATAATGGGAAAATAGGATTTGCTTGAGCCAGACCTTTTTAAACCTAATGGCCTATGATTTACAGGAACCTGTTCTCACACTAAAAATGTGGGTACCCATGTCAAACAAGAATTTGCACATCTTTCCTCAGAAAGAGAAGAGCACTAGCTCCCATTGTTTAATTATACAGTTTGCTTGGGGGGGAAACAGGAGAAAAAGGACATTTTAGTTAGAAAACTAAGTTTTATCATCATATGAAACTAAATTTCTAGATTGATTCAAAGTGGTAAAGGACATATTTCAGCCTTTGCCACTATTGACTAAGTATACCTAATATCTGTGTGGTAACATTACATACTTAAACAACAAGGAGTCTGGTGGCACCTTAAAGACTAACAGATTTATTTGGGCATAAGGTTTCGTGAGTAAAAACCTCACTTCTTCGGATGCATCCTTTCGTGAGGTTTTTACTCACGAAAGCTTATGCCCAAATAAATCTGTTAGTCTTTAAGGTGCCACCAGATTCCTTGTTGTTTTTGTAGATACAGACTAACACGGCTACCCCCTGATACATTACATACTTAAGGATTTAATAAAAATCTGTGCCTCCACTGATGTTCATGAGACTGAGGAGAACACGACCCTAACATTTTATTTTGGCAGTAACAACATTAGTGACATAAGAGGTTATAGTTAGAAATAGCCGAGGTGAGCCGTCTAAGCTTTAGGGCAAAAGGCCTACCCACCACTGGCTGGTACGGTAAGAGATAACTTCCATAGTTCCTACGACACAGCAGCATTTCACTCGCTTCTCCATTTATTTAATACTACAGGAGGACGGTGATTTATTTTTGGTTTATTCATTCATTTATTTATTTTCTTTGAAGAATAGGAAAACTGATTACCTGGCTCCATGTTCCATGCGCAGTTTCATGTCACCAAACTGATCAGAAAAGAATTGGGCCAACCCTGGGGAAACAGGTGAGCACGTATCAGTTACTACATCTAGCCAAGTTACATGATTTAATTAGACTTTCAATCCACTGTTCCCACATCCTGCCCCCTCTCTTATTTGAATGTGAGGCTTTAGCTCCTTCTTAGGAAAGCACCTTCCTAAAGAAAGGAGAGTGCTCAGCCCACACAATGACCTTCCTTATACATCAGGTGCCACATTCATCCTGGATGTGGCTCCATTGACTTCAGGTCTCAGTGATGAATAACAGCCCTTTCCTGCTCCTCAGCCCACTTCCCAGTCCCTGGGAGAGATATCTACAACACAGATGTGGCCGGGCTTGTTTGTGAACTGGGCAGCTCCTCTCCTCCCCTCCCGCTTTCCTCGGGGGAGGAAATTCAGCAGGGCCCTTGGCTTTCATTGGGCTGGCCCGCGGCCCTACGCGTCCTCTGCTCTCTAACCTGGCGGTGCGGATGAAGGGTGTGTGGGTGTGTGTGTGGTGGGGG